GAGAGAATGTATTGGTTATTTGTGTTTATTTTATTCAATAATTTTTTGTGAAAATTGAACAGTCGAACCAAAAACTGAATTATCAATATTCTTAAATCCAAAACTAAACCAAATTACTGAAATTGCAAAGCCAAAAACCAAAATTTTAGGATTCGATTCGATAACTAATTTTAACCAAAGAGTGTAGAAATATAAGTGGAGTTTTGGATATAAGAATTGTGAAATTTCGGCAAAAAGTTTTAAAAAAAAAATTCAAGTGAAAATGGTATCTGAAAATTAAAGTTGTGTTTTAATATGAAATAATTTGGAACTATATTTTAATTTTTATAATTAATTTAAAGTAAAAATTTTGAAAATATAGCTTTTTTAGAGTTTTTCAAATTTTCAAAAAATTCTGAAATTCAATTTCAAGTGAAATTTGAAATTTTCATATTAAACACTTGTTCCGAAAAAAGTAAAATTTTCCACAAAAAAAAATGAATTTTTCTATTGTGGCCATAACCCAAAAAAGAAAAAAAATAAAAACATAAACAAACCAGTCCAACTTGCTTCAATATTTGATCTCTTCCTTTGTCAGAGTTACATCAGCTCCTAGTCATTTCCTACTCAGTTCATAGTAGGAGTGAAAATAAAATTTTTTGTATATATAATTACATATAAACAATTCTATGTATTATACATTCATCGAATGGCTGAAAAAACAGAACCATTCCTAAGTAATGATAAAAAATTGAAGAGAAAATTAGGATCATCTCTTGATGAAACAATAGAAACTTGCATAGGTGAATTTGGTTGGACTCAATTTTTACAAGCCATATTTGTCTCTATTGCTTGGTTTTTTGATGCTCAACAAACATTTATTAGTGTTTTTACTGATGCACAACCATCTTGGCATTGCATTTCTTGCAATTCTTCTTCTTCTTCTTCCATTGACAACAATTTTTGTAATCTTCCAAAAGATGCATGGACATGGGATTTACCATCCCATATTTCAGTTGTTTCAGAGTGGTCTTTACAATGTCGTGGCTCGGTCATCGCCGGTCTTCCTGCTTCTTCCTTCTTCATGGGATGTCTTATAGGTACGAAACGAATTCATGATTTAAATTTAATAGATTCGAGATTCTGAGTTCTTTCAATGTATGAGTCAAAAATTTACTCCATATATCTCACTTTATTCGACCACTTTACTTTTCCAGTTATAGATATGAGATGGATCCTTGATTTAAATTTAATAAATTCAAAGTATTGGATTTTTCGAAAATTTAATTTGACTTTACTCCATCTATTCCGTTTTATTATACAAGATTTTTGTCTTAAAAGAATGATACATTATCTGTTTCACTTTATGTAGCAAGGTTCGGAGTACAAGGATTAAAATACTTAATTTTGGTATGAATTTGGATATAAAATATTTATGAAAAAAAAATTGGAAATAATATTTTATATTTTAAACTTCATAAAAAATGAAGTTTTATAAGTCATAATAGTTAATAATTCAAAATATAAAAGAAAAAGTGGTCAAAGAATAACTTTTTGGACTTCCAAATACTAATAATGCTGCCACATAAATTGGGAAAAGAAGGAGTATATTTTTATCTTTAGAAATAATTTAACTTGACCTTCCATTTACTCTTAGTGACATGATATTATAGTCACATAAATATTATGATATATTTAAACTATAAGTTGCAAACTACTTTCTTTCTTAACTACTATGTTCAGTCAAGTATATTCACTACTCTTCAAGAATTTCTGCATATATATTATGGTGTTCTCACTCCTAACTAGGGGCGAAGCTATGTATGTTCAAGAGTGGTCGACTGAACATCCTTCGCCAAAAAATTATAGTATATATAGGGTAATATATTACTTGTTGTTGATTAAAAAACAGACTTTGAATACTCTTACATAGCTCATTCAAAATTTGAATACCTTTATTGAATTTTCGGGCTTCGCCGTTGTTTCTAACTCTTAGGTCCGTGTTTGCTTACAGGAGGTTTCCTTCTCTCCACCTTAGCTGACTCGTCACTTGGACGAAAAAATATGTTGGTTTTGTCATGTCTTCTCATGTCCATTACTGGATCAATCACTGCTTTTTCCACCAATATTTGGATGTATTCATTCTTGAGGTTTCTTTCTGGATTTGGAAGAGCTACAATAGGCACATGCGCGCTTGTCTTGTCCACAGAACTCGTGGGAAGACGATGGCGAGACCAAGTTGGAATCATTGGTTTTCACTGTTTCACTATGGGATTTATTTCATTACCAACTTTGGCATTTATAAACAGAGGTTCTACATGGAGAATTCTTTACCTTTGGACTTGTTTACCTACAATTTTATACTCATTTTTAGTTTATTTTATAGTACCTGAATCTCCTAGATGGCTTTATATCAAAGGAAACAAAGAGGGATTTGTCCAAACTTTGAAAAGTATTGCACCTCCAACAACAAGAAGCAGTTTAACCTTGAGTTTCTTCGGATCGTTCATTGAATTTGAAAATCAAGAAGTACTCGATAACAACACAGTCGATCTATATTCAGCTATCAGGATGTTGGTGGAAAGAAATTGGTCTTTTCGTCGACTAGTAACAGTAATGTGTGTTGGATTTGGTATTGGTATGACTTACTATGGTATGCCATTAGGTGTTGGAAGTTTAAATTTCAATCTCTATTTAAGCATTACATTGAATGCATTATCTGAATTACCATCTTCCATTTTGATTCTTTTTCTTATTGGGAAACTTAGTAGGAAAAGTTCATTACTAGGATTTGCTATATTAAGTGGAATTTGTAGCATAGGTTGTGTTATATTTGAGGGAGGAAAATTCAAAGAATTACAAATAGGAGTTGAATTAATTTCATATTTTAGCGCGTGTACAGCGTTTAGTATTCTATTGATCTACACGTTGGAACTTTTTCCGACGTGTGTGAGGAACTCGGCTGTGGCAATGGTGAGACAAGCGATGGTTCTCGGCGGAGCTTTCAGTCCAATGCTCATAGCAATTGGTAGGAACAACAAATGGTATTGTTTTGGTGTGTTTGGTTTGAGCATAGTAATATGTGGTTGTTTTTGTTGCGGAAGCCAAATGTATAGAGTGTGAATAAGTCACAACTACTATACCAAAAATTATGGCAGCCACTAAATAATATATAAGACAATAAAGCAACAATAAAAGCAACACCAGAATTTAACGAGGTTCGGCCAATTTAGCCTACTCCTCGGACACAACCAAATATTTTATTCCACTCCAAAAATACAAGTGAAATAATACTAAAGAGAGAAGATACAAATGCCTTAAATAGATAAGAAGGCAATTAAGAGGTGTGTTTAAATCCTAAACATTGGGCCTTCTTTTATAGGGGGAAAATCCCCCCAACTTTCAATAGCCAACCGATGTGGGAGGCAGACATATTTGACATTTCAACAAATCTCCACCTTGGCAAAATTTCCACATCTTCAATTTTCTCTCTATAACAAATTTTGATTGTGTCCTCATCTTTAATCTTCAGTGCTCAACAATGTTGATCAAATCCAAACAATGTTGAAACTTGATCGCAGTCACCACCTTTGTCAGC